CAGGGACGATCATGCTTAGGCCTGTAGCTCCAGCTCTTGCCCAAGAGCGAGCTTCTTCTTGGATGGAATGGATAAGGTTGCTGAGTGAGGGTTGAGTTGCGTTCTGGTTCTTCCAGATGGACCAAGCATAGAGGGCGATCATCCATCCAGGACTTTTGAATGCTAGCCGGGGAGCGTGGCGGAGGACCACCACGTGAAGAAATCGGTGTTGCCGTTTGGAGGGTGGGTGGTGAGCCGGCACCAGGAGAGGAGCTCATGCCAAACCATCTGAGAGAAGACGCATTCCGCCAGGAGGTGCTGCATGGTCTCGGTATTCTGGTCGCGAAGGAGGCATGCTGGCGCATGAGGAAGGCCATGGCGAGCACGCCGGGCCTCAGTTCAGCAGCAGTCGAGCCCAGCTAACCAAAGGAAAACCTAGATGCTGAGTGGGGCCCATGGCTTCCAAGTGAGCTACCAGTGGGGGGCTTGCATGGATCCTTGGAAGAGCGTGAGGTAGCAAGACTTTGTCGTGTAGACACCGCTCGTAGTCCAGCGCCAAGTGATGAAATCCGTGGTAATGGCAACATTGGCAAGGGTGGTGGTGCGAAGGCGGCGCCAAATGTCCACGTACTCCATGGTGGCCGCCGGCCTGAGGCTGCCACGAATCTTGGATCTAGGCCTGGTTGGGGATGGCCTCGCAGACAAGGCGGCTGTTGCGGCGGCGGCGAGGGACAAGGGCGACCAGGGCCGGAGCAAGCTCGAAGATGGAGGAGCCCTGAAGCCAATGATCGGTCCATAATTTGCAGGCGTGTCCGTCACCCAAAATCCAGGAAGTGGAGGATCGAAAGATTTGCTTGACCTCAGGCTCGCAGTGTGGAGGAAGATGGTGCTAAGGGCGTTTAGGGCCAGTCTCTTGGAGCCACAGCCAGAGCACCCGAAGAGCAATGCCGGTGCGTTCCAAGTCCTGAATGCTGAGGGCGCCGAGCTCCAAGGGGCGGCATGCCTGTGGCATATATAAATATCCTGTCTTGGTTGCTTTATATTTTACAAGGTCAACTATAGTGCAAGAAATACTACATGCAAACTCTTTATATGCAACAGAGAACATCACATTGATTTTTGAACTGCAGGCATGTGATACTTGGGAAAAAGTTAAAAGTGGACTGTAGCCTAAGCTTGAAGAGCTATTAACTGTATGAGTGGAACTCCTGGCCAGGCCTAGAAAAATCCTTGTTCTTGTATGGTGAATATTTTATTTGAGTTTGTTGATTGCTAACAGATCTGTTCTCATGATCGGAACTCCTGGCCAGGCCTAGAAAATCCTTGTTCTTGTATGGTGAATATTTTCTTGGACACTACTATGCAGCGGCGCAGCATCTGATGTTTCCCGTGCGGCGCTCGCTGATCAGGCAGTAAAGCTTGTCGCGCTTGCGCGTGAGCCCCTCCCGTCGCTTAATGGGCCGTCCAAACTCGGTCAATCTCTTGTCGTGCATCGCCGTCTCTTGCACCTTAACTCACTCTCGTGTCGTTTTCACCACCAAATCCTAGCGCTGCTTCTCCCTAATCCACCAGCTCAACCATTGCACAATGATGTAGATAAGCTGCCCATAAACATGTAGGAAAAAAAAGGAGTCGTGCTAGCGAAAAAAGGATGATCTGACATGATTGCCAGGTTGAAGCAGGTGTAGATACACATGGTTGTCATGTTCAACCAGATATATGTTACCAGGTTTACATGCAATTTCCAGGAAAATTGTGCTGAGTTGCCATATTATTTCATCCTGCTTGTCGTGCTGTCTACAAGCGGTTGCCAGGGGAATTTGTTGTGTTTACCATTTTTCATTGTACTGGGTTGCCATCTTATTTCATATTACTTGTTGTTCTGTTTATGCGTAATTGTTGAGATGATTTACTGTGCTTGCTATTTTAATTTTATCGAGTTGCCATGTTTATTTTATAATGCCTGCTGTTTTATTAACATGTAATTGCTGGGATAATTTGTTGTGCTTGTCATTTTTAATTGTGCCAAGTTGCCAATTTATTTTGTCTTGACGTTTTGTTTACACACAGTTTCTGGCATGATTTACTATGCTTGCTATTTTAATTGTGGAGTTGCCATATTTATTTTGTACAACTTGCCATTTTGTTTACATATAACTCCCGAGATGATCTGCTATGATTGCCATTTCAATTTGTGCTGATTTGCCATATTTATTTCATGCATCATGACATTATTTGAGAAAAATTGAACTTCTCAAGGTGATTTGTTGTTTTTATGTATGTCTTGGTTAAATTGTGTTAATCATTTAAGCTAGTTTCCTTGAAACACAATGGTTCTTCAAAAATGCAGTTGTCAGATTGTTTAGGAAAAACAACCAAGTTTTTGAAAATAATTACCCGTTGATTCACAAAAAGATTAATAGCATGTAGAATAGAACTGAATTCTTTATTTATTTAATACAAGATGTACATCTTGTGGAAATCGAGACAGAACACTGTAGCAGCCCCCGTGCAAGCATAGTGCAACGGTGGTGCTCAATGTAGCGAGTGCTTGTAGCAAACCACAGCCTGTAGCACACTTGCCCCGTTTTTCTTCCTGGGCCTGGTGGCCTAGTTTGCTCGCCCCAAAACAAATCGCGATGCTACTATTTAGTTTATGCAGAGCTGAGCCGCAGGGGAGAACGAGCGTGCGCACATTGGATTTTCCCTATTTTCTTTTGAGTTTGTTGATTGCTAACGGATATTGCTCATCATCCTGTAGTCATAACTGATTGGTGTCATCAACGATTCACCTGTTTTGGTTGCTCTCAATTTTTTTACAAGAATGGTGTAAGCAATAGCTGCTGCCATGCCGCTTTATAGGGAGTACCCAAGAATCAAGTGTTAGATGGCCTGTTTGGTCGAATTTCTGAAGGCCTCCCACCCTCACCCCCACCCCAGAGGAGTTAAATAACTACAAAACAGTCCCCTTCCTGTTGTTTAACTCTATGCAACGGGGAATATTGCATACGTAATTTTCTAGTTGCAAAAATGTGTTTTTTGTAGATTGATCTAGCGGAAGTTTCATGTGAAAAGTGAGCCTGAAGAACTGTTAGCTCTATATAATTGGAACTTCTAGCCAAGTCGATGGGTTCCTGACTTTCTATCATAAATTTGCCTATTTCAGGCAGATCAAAACCAGGCAATTTCAATGGTTTCATATTATGCTTCATCTTCAGAACCTGCCCAAGTTCGTGGTAAAACTGTATATATCCAGTATTCAAATAGGCAAGAAATTACAAACAATAAAGGCACTGGTGATTCTTCTGGCAATGTCCTGCTTGTCACCTTTGAAGGTGTCCAGCCTAATGATGTTAGCATAGATGTTATCCATTTGGTAAGTATTACACGAGACATGCATTCAAATAGTAAATGAATTCCTTTTCCGTTTTGTAATGTTTTATTTTTTGCATTATTTGCAATAGGTATTTTCTGCTTTTGGGTTTGTTCACAAGATAGCAACGTTTGAGAAAGCCGCTGGTTTCCAGGTAACATAGTGCTTATGTCTAGTTTCATATATGTTACTATTTTTGTAAATTACCTTGACAGCTTGATTTTTTTACTAACTACTAGCTCGAAATTTTTTCAGGCACTTATCCAATATACTGATGCTCCAACTGCTCTAGAGGCAAAAAATTCGTTAGACGGAAGAAGCATACCGAGGTAGTCCATGTTTATTACTCTGAGTTGGCAATTCACGAGAGTAATGTGAACCCTTGAAATTTTACTTCTTGAACTCGCGAAGGGTGCATTTTTTACTATTGCATTTTAGCTGATCTTTGATATAGAAGTCACTGATGTGATATTGCTATTGCAGGTATCTACTGGCTGAACACGTCAGCATTTGTCACCTGCGCATAACATTTTCTGCGCACAAAGATTTGAATATTAAATTTCAATCACATCGCAGCAGGTACAAGATAGTTTACAGCTTTAATTTTTTTTGTGTGTTCAATTCTATTTTGGTTTGTATTAAGCTCTTGTCCGCTAAAAATTAATTTTAGAGACACAAGTTTGTAACAGTGTCTGTTTTGATTAAGCAGGGATTACACAAATCCTTATCTTCCTGTTAATCCAACTGCAATCGAGGGAATCACACAGGTTTGCCTGTAGTTCAAACTAGTATATCTGATGTCATGTCACTCTTCATCTTCTTCTGTTGCTGCTTACACCATGTAAGTTTTGCAGCCCATATTAGGCTCTGATGGGAAGATTAAGGAGCCAGAGAGCAATGTACTTTTAGCATCAATCGAGAACATGCAGTATGCTGTGGGAGTGGATGTTCTACACACTGTAAGAGTATTTTAGAGTGATCTTGTCCTCAAGATTATTTTGAATTAAATAAGAAAAATATTTGTAAGAAAATATATCATATATACTCATTGTATGAGATAATTTCAGGTGTTCTCTTCTTTTGGTGCTGTCCGAAAGATTGCAATGTTCGAGAAGAATGGTGGAATGCAGGCTCTAATTCAGTATCCAGGTATGTGCGAACAACTGTAAACCTCACCATATCACATTATCTTTAGGATATGCCATGATATGGCTACACCTTGATTTAGGGGATGTAGACTGGCCCCGATGCTCCTTTGCTGTAATTTTTTCACTCTGTTGTTAACTCCTGACAAGCCAAGTCCATAGGTGATACTGAACTCTGTGGACATCTTAATGATGCTGTGTTGATTATTGAGTTAATATTTGTTTATGCGTCAAAGTTTCTGACTTCAGCAGAGAGGTCTTGGAGTCCCTGAAGACTTAAAATGGACATCTACAACTATCCACAGCTATAAAGTTACCTTTCGTAATTTCTTATTCTTTTCTTACCGTTTCCTGTAAGCATATTTACTTTCTTAGTAGAGGTTTGGTACAGTCATGTCTTCCTGTCATCTTAGTGTGGATTGTCTTCCTCTTGGCACCCTGTTCTTCTGTCAGACGCCAGCTGCCTTAATTGTTACCTTTTTGGATAGAGTAGCAGTCACCATGAGGATGTATCCAGTGCTTTCTAGCCTGACAGTGACTGGTGTGGTTGGTCCTAAAATTGGTGCAAATGGTCAGAAAAAATTCTTAGAAATTGTTGAAAGAAAATCAATCTACCATGCCACAGAATTTCAAACCTACATTTTGGTCTACACATTGGAGAAACCACTGAGACAAACTGCTGAACTTGACAAAGGAAAGAGAAAACACTGTTGACTGGAATTTGTCTTTTTCTTCTTCTTCTCTCCTAATGTAACAGTTGAATTTATGTAGATTGCTTGATTTTATATCATTCTTGTGGTGGGTTTTGTTACGCCATTTGTATTTTAGGAACATAAGGAAGTGAATTATGGGCTAACAGTCACATCCTCTAGCTGCAACCTCTATTGAGAGCACGTCTTATACATCTGTAGTCCAAATGAGCATCTCAGCGTCTTATGTGTGATCAATTTATCTATCCTGTCTTTGATGTTTCTTCGGAAGTGAGACAAAACAGACGGCATTGCACATTACAGTGTATTTGTAATCTAAATGTTTAACTTGAGAGAATCCATATTCATATTCACTACAACTTCTAGTTGTTCAGAAGTACTGCTAGAGCTAACAGAGTCCGTATTCGCAGATATAACAACAGCAGGAGTTGCTAAACAAGCTCTGGAGGGGCATTGCATATATGATGGTGGTTACTGTAAGCTTCATCTGTCATACTCTCGTCATACTGATCTGAATGTGAAGGTATAAACAATAGTTTCAGGCTGTGTAAATTAACAAAGAATAAATGAATGCATCCAATTAGGGAAAAAATACTATTGCTATATTGAGGTGGAATAGTCTTATCATTTGTTCGGTTTGACAATGCTTTTGGAACATCTTGTTTTCCTACTGTTTGCTTCCACGTTTTTCCTGATACGGGATCTACATATTGTGGCATTCAGGCACATGACGAGAGAAGCAGAGACTACACCGTCTCGGATCCTAGTGCTCAGGTACAAGCTGCAGGTCAAGCCCCTGGTCTAAGCACTCCTGGAGCAGCATGGCAAAGCACCACGCCTGCTGCTTTTTATGGAAGCTCAGCAGGACCGACCTCTATCGGACAAGCGCCAGCCTGGAATCCTAACATGCAGCGAGGGGCATTTGCACCTGCATCAACCTCGTACCCTACCCAATTATTGATGGCAAACCCAGGCCCGCACTTTCCAGCAGTCGGATCAAGCTCTGGTGCTCCTCCGATGTTGTACCAAGCTTCGCAGCAGATGGCACATTATGGCACAGCCCCTGCTGCTCTGCCTCATGCAGCCTTGTCTGGCGAACCGATGTACTTCCCAAAATGAGCTATTCATCCAATAGAGCAGTTGCCTATGCTTTGTGCAGCACCTCTGGTCTTCAATTTTTGGAACTGCACTGTAATGCCGATCTGTTTTTCTTGGTACTTGTGAGACCCCTGTGGCAAATGTACCTGTCTGGCTGTTGGTGCCTGTAAACTGCACAACAAAATGGAAAATTACTCGAGCCATGTCAGTTCAATCCAAAACCTGATGTTCTTTCTGCGCTTGATAATTACTTGGTACAAGGCACCAACAATTAAGTTTGACTATACCAGGGTGGTGTATGCCATACTGGAATTTGTTTTTGGCCATGTCTGGTTGCCGGTTGGTTTCTTCTCCATGAACAAAGAATGCCGGTTGGTTTCTTCTCCATGAACAAAGAATGTTACTCCCTCCGTGCACTTCTACAAGTTGTTCCAGACAACTGAAAATGGGCTGCTTTTCACGTTGTTACAATGTCTTCAACATCTTATAAAAGTGAACAGAGGAAATACAACACCAGTTATTGGCTTGCTGACGTACTGTGCTGCTGGCCGCCGAGATTAAGTTCCAAAGCTTATTGTCGAGCTGGATTCGAAAGGTGTAGTGGCCATCTTCAATGATCCAGAGAAGAACCTCTGAGCGCTCGGTCCGGTGATTGAAGAAGTGAAAGGGTTACTCAAGTTTCAGGAGTCTACAGTCCGATGGATGCGGCGATGTGCGAACGGTGCTCTGCACATCTTAGCTAAGGATGTGCGAACGGTCACATCTTAGCTAAGGAACGATTGTATTTTATGATACAATAAAGCATCCTCAATTGTTACTTGTGTATCCCTGGGAGGATAAATATGGCACGTCCAGTGCCAATGATTACCGTATCGCGTTTAGCTATAATTAGAATATCTTCATTCATCTTTTTAAGAGTTTGGAAATATTTCATCTCCCTTAGTATGGAGTTTGTGGTTGAACTGTCCACAAGGCATAATTCATCTTTTATTTAATTGTCACTGTAGAGAACTATATATAAGACAAAAAACTTTCAGTGAGAAAATCTCATGTAAATACATAGAATACAATCTTATTTATATCAAATATGTTGGCACGGTTACAATCTTATTATAACAAATGTGCTGATACAATATAAATACAACAATAATACTTATGTTCTTATTACAACATCACAAATGGACATAGCTAAATAGATCACTAAAGAATTGTGGGACTAGCCGAAGTCTCCAAACACGTCATTTGAGGTACACCCGATCATCACGTTCTCCGTGTCAGTAAGGTCTTCTGGTTGATGGAATGCCATGGTGTTGTTTGGTATAGGAGGAATGTCGTCCGAACTATCGGTTCCATTGGCCCTGTCTGGATGAAGGTTGAAGTTGGCTCCAAACCTCTTCCTTGAGGTGCTCTGCGTCCCTAAGATTGCTGGTACAACATAACCAGATGCTTTGGGATCTTGCGCTTGTCAGTGGGGTGAGTGTAGCATCCACACTTGTTGCAAAGCTGAGATTTATTGTCGGGGTTGTGGTGCGACATATGACAAGGGGTGGCTTATCATGGAGAGGGCCAAGAGAACGTCGTCGGGCTCAGGGGCGGAGCCAGGAATTTAGTATAGGGGGGGCGAGCTCCACACTTAAGCTCTTGCAAACCGCTGAGGACTGGCCAAGCCAAAATACTTCATATGGCATGCTAAGAAGCTAAGAAGCCTAGATTCGAACTCATGTTTTCATAGGTGTAATTAAAGACTGAAAAATTACTACCAAATTGCTCATATTCGACACAAGAAATTTAATTTCCAGATTAGTTATATACTAACTGACTTGAAATACAATTTTCATGTCGATCAAATCATTCATATTAGGCAACAAAATTTTAGAGATTTGAACCCGAGGTTAATTACGGGAGTGGCCGTACCATGGAGACAGTAAGCCCTGTGGTCGGTCATGGCAGTGGTGGTGCTTCCCCTAATATTCTCTATTAGGGTTGATGATAGTGATCAATTGGGGATTCGTAAGGATAAAGACAAACCATGCACCGATGCAGCCGTGATGAATCATAATTAGTCTCCTTCTGATCTTCGCTTAGAGGCCGAAGCAAATTTTCCCTAGTGGCGGACCGACGGTAGTAGGCAGAGACTCACACGGTGTAGGCAGATCGCGCGATTCATTTGGCAGTGATAAAATCGCGTTGATTGCAACAGTTGGGAAGCGAGCAACTGCATGCGTGGTTGCGTGCTGTTGTGGGGCTAATTTTCCTTGGACCCTCGATGGGGTGGTGGTGGGCTATTTCTTTTCTTATGTTTTGGTCCATTATCTGCTATGTACACAATGGCTGGGCCTGCTCCCAGGGAGGGCCTCACGTTATTACACGAGATGGCCTCGATAGGGGGGCAAAGACTAAAAAAACACGTCAGGAAGACGACTAACTACGCATGTACCTAATCGCTACAAGGGATCAGGAAATCGTCAGGGGGGTCTCGCCCCCCCTCGTCCCCCCTTAGATTCGTCCCTGGCCGGGCTCTAGAGGCGGGAGTGAGTGAGAACGCCTAAGCCGACAAATCTTACCCAGGTTCGGGACTCTCCTAGGAGATAACACCCCTAGTCCTGCTCTGCGGGGTCTTCGCATGATCACTATCTCAATAAGGTGACTACAAGGTTGCTCCTTGAGCTGTTTGGCTAGAGGAGGAAGATGAGCAGAGCTAGCCTTTCTTCCCCTCTCTATGTGTGTGTGAATCTACTCAAGTTCTGAACCCTTTGCATGGGTGCCCTAGGGGGTTTATATAGGCCTACTCCCAGGGGTACAATGGTAATCCGACCGGGTGTGGGACCCGGCCGTCAGCGTCTCTGGTCGTCGGTTTCTCCACCTGCTGCTGGGGCCTGCCACCTGGTGGGCCCCGCCGGCTATCTTGTACTTGACCGACAAGCCGCGCCCGCCGCTTGTGGGTCTTGGCCGGCTACTTAACACTGTAGCCGTGCCACTGATGATGCATGCCTTGTCAGGGAAGAGTGGCTACAGTCCCGCCGCCTGGCGGGCGTTCACTATAGCCACATCCCATCTTATCTGGTTAATGGCGCACAGAGTCCAAGGGAGGGGGACGACCGCCTGCTAGGAGTCGGCCTCCCTTGTGCCGACTGATCAGGTTCCGCCACCTTCGGGCATCTCACGGGCAAGTAGGGCCCGCCGCCCGCAGGCCGTACCGACAGCCCGTCGTGGGAGCATGGCCTCTTCTGCCATGATGATGTCACGGGCGTCGTGGTAACAGTGCCGCGCCGGGCGAGGGATACCCGCCCGGTATGCTGCACTATGGCCACGCTCAGCCCTGGATTCGGGGGTGGCATGCTATACTATAGCCATGCCCCGTCTCGTCGCTGTAATGAGGTGCTATCTTTGAGGGAGTGAGGGGCCGCCTGCTGGAAGTCAGCCCTCCTTGTTGCTGCCTTCTAGGCTCTACCGCCTTCCTGCAGCTGACCACCAGGACCAGCCGGCCCCAATATGGCGGTCCTTTGTCTTTGATGCTTGAGGGGCGCAGCTGGCCCCGATGTCTTGAAATACCATGGGGGGCTGATGAGGCTACACGTAGTCATTTACTCCGACAGTAGTCCCTGAAGCTGGTGGGACACCGCGGCTGAAAAAGGCGAGAAGCATCAGCAGCTTCCTACTCCGAGTGGTCTGGTAGCTTTGCGTCGTCCGTCTTCTGAAACACCGACTGCCAGGAGCCAGCCGTGGTCAGGCAGGCCACCTGGTGATTTGAAACACCGCGATGGGGGCCAGGTGGTTCGCCAGCCGGACGTCGGGTTTGCCGCCCGAACCAGCTCGCCACGTATCGTCAGCAGGCCAGGCCGGCCTGCCAGCCCACGAACGCGACGGGACGTCGCCACAGGCTGGGGCCCACCACTACAGGGCCTCGGCACGCGCGCGGATCCGCTACGGCCGAGGCAGACGGTTGAGCTTCCGTGCGCAGTTAATACACGCCGATACGACGCCGGGATCGTGGGGGGAGTGGGCGCTGTTAATCCCATGACCCCCACGTTCTCGCCCCCCGGCTCCGCCGCCTGGGGCTATAAATAGGGGAGGAGGGGGGCGGCTGACGCACGCGCGCCCTACTCTTCCCTTGCTCCTTTTCTTCTTCTCTTCTCCGCCGCCGCAGCGCCCCTTCCTCTTGCCGAGGCGCTGCCGCAACCCATTATCACCGGGCATCTTCTCGTCGCGGCTTCCTTGCTCCGCCGTCACTGCGCCGCGCCTCCGTCAAGCATCGAAGGCCATGGCACGCGCACGGGCCGGTGACTGGGACGTCTCCAATGTCCATGAAGACCACCTCTCTTTTCTTCATCAAACGCGGCGGCTGCCCTAGAGACACACATGAAGGTGCGTGCCCCCTCGAAGCGGAAATCTCACCGGCGCCAGAGAAGGGCGTATACGTCGTCTTCCGGTTCCATTTCCTTCGCGGCTTCGGCCTTCCAGCGAGCAGCTTCCTGCGCTCCTTCCTCAACTTCTACCGAGTCCAGTTGCACCACCTCACGCCAAACACGGTGCTACTGCTGTTTGCCTTCGTCACCTTCTGCGAAGGCTACCTCGGTACTCTCCCTACCCTCGAGCTCTGGGGAGAGTGCTTCTACCTCAAGCTTGGCACCGCCGCCAAGGGCCAGGCGGCTCAATGCGGAGCCTGCGTGGCGGTGCAGCATCCGGGTGCTGGGAACCGCTTCCCGCCTGTCTCCTTGCTGCAGTCGGCCAAACTGTGGCAGAAGTCCTATTTCTACGTCAAGAACGTACATCCGATGAGGGACTACATCAACCTTCCAGCTTATGTAGCCGGCCCGTCCGTTGAACCGCGCCCCAACTGGCACAACAAGCAGAGCTCCCTATCGGCCGCCTCCTCCGTCGCCCTCGACCGACTTGAGGTGATGACGGAGTCGGAGGGCCTCAAGGGCTCGGACCTTCTGGCTGCCTACATGGCGTGCCGAGTGCTTCCCCTCCAAGCCCGACTCCACATCATCAGCAGCATGAGTGGGCACCGGGACCTG